AGGGTCTGCTAGCTGGGTGCTGGCAGGCTTGCACCTGGCACGGGCACCGTAGCCAGCCCGTGCCCCTTTAAGGGGTCCGGGGCTGGGAGGGGGGCATAGAGTTTCCCTGGTGTTGGCTTATAGTCCTAGCCTTCACAGCCTCCTCTGGCAAGGAGTTCCACAGGTTGACTACACGCTGTGATTTGTGAAGAACGAGCTAATGGCTCATCATTTTACAGCTAATTTTGGCCTCCAAACTCAAGTATGAAATAGATCTTTGGGGCAATGATCTTATAGTCCTAGCCTTCACAGCCTCCTCTGGCAAGGAGTTCCACAGGTTGACTACACGCTGTGATTTGTGAAGAACGAGCTAATGGCTCATCATTTTACAGCTAATTTTGGCCTCCAAACTCAAGTATGAAATAGATCTTTGGGGCAATGATGGTCACTCTGCCCCAGCTGCACCAGAGCCAGCTGATGAGCAGTGAATAACAACAGAGCAGACAGTTTCACCTTCCATGCAGATACTTTCACCTTCCATGCAGGACCCATTTTCCACTGGAGCTTGGATTCTGCCCTTTCTTTGGGAAGAACTAAACAGTCTATCAGACACCTCACTTCCTTCACTGTACCCTCTACTGTCTCCAGTGCTTCGGAATCATCACTACCAGAAAGGGGGCATGGCTAGGTATTACACATCTCTGTGGGTCAATGAATAGAGGCGTGATTGTGAGAACTGCTCTTCAGCTCCATGATGATTACCTGCTCTGCTTGAATCCTATGTGAGTGGCACCCCTCTAACTCATCTCTCTGTCTTGTCTGCATTGCAGGTGGATTTTGAAGATGTCATTGCTGAGCCAGCCGGTACATACAGTTTTGATGGAGTATGGAAAACCAGCTACACCACCTTCACAGTCAGCAAGTACTGGTGCTACCGGCTGCTTTCTGTTGTGTTGGGAATCCCTCTGGCAGTCATTTGGGGCTTCCTCTTTGCTTTAATCTCTTTTTGCCACATCTGGGCAGTGGTGCCCTGCATCAAAAGCTACGTGATTGAAATCCAGTGTGTCAGCAGAATTTACTCCCTCTGCATCCACACCTTCTGCGACCCATTGTGCGAGGCCCTGGGGAAGATGTTTAGCAGCATCAAAGTTGCTCTGCGCAAAGAAATCTAGAGGGACTGGTAGAGAAAACTAGCAGAAACAGTCATACAACAATCACACTTTCAACATTTTCCTAAAAGACTGTATCACATTCTTCTCTCAGTTACATTGGAGTAACCAGGGAATAACACCAAAGAAGCCTCTGCAGTTACTCTGCATTCAGGCTGATGTAAAGGAGAGCAGAACTTCTCATGTAATTATTTCATGGACCACAAACTTAGATTAACACATGCATTTATTAAATAGCAAATAAGGGTGTGAGAAAGCTAAAGTACATGTGGGTACAATGCAAAATTGTCTGTTTAGTTAGCCATTAGCTCAAAATAGTACCAGGAAGCACGGTTATGTAACAATTATTATTGCTGCAAATAGTGGTTGTTGTAAACGCTTTTGTTTTAATTAGCAATATGCCAAATGTGTATGGATATATAAATGACAAACTTTTGTTTCCATTTCAGCTTTTAAATATAAATAACCTTAGTGGGTAAATTTTTAACTGTTCATCATACTTTCTGGGGGTGCTATTCATTACTGTATTTTTGTGGCTGCAAGTGCATTCATGGCATTTTGACCTCAACTAACTGTTGTCATACATCCGGCAGTTAAACATGCCTCTATTACAATTTGTATCCAGGATTCAAGTGCAGCACCAATACTGCAGACATTTGCCCTCTTTTTTTTTTTCTTCAGACATAAATTATACTTACAAACCAGAGGGTTGGGCCCCTTCACCACATCTGAATATTTCCCTCAATGACTGCAAACATATTTGACTAATTCACTTCAATAATGACAAAAGTGGTTTACATAAAAAGGTATTTGCCTTATTTGTTGGGGAAGTGGGAGAGTGTATGTTAGTTGCTTATTTGATCTCCTGATAAATTAAGAATTCTTTCTTCCCTGTGTTTAGTCATAGCTAATGAGTTCTGTTGCCGTATTTCCATGTTCCCTATAGTTACAACTGCCTTCACACTAGAGCAAGAATTAGCTACAATTTCTAGAATCATGGGGCCCCAGTATCATCAATGGCATTGCACGCATGTAAACAAGAATAGATTTTAGCTCATTGGACCTAATTCACTCATGCAATGTTTAATGTGAGGCACTCTATTGGCTTTTATGCCTTTAGTTCAGATGTATGTGCAAGCAAGAGGAGAATGAAATCCATTGTTTTCAATGGAAGTTGCATATTTCAGGTGAGAGGAGGTTTGGCCTATAAAAATAAGGCCAAGTGCAAGGGTATTTCCTACTCTGTATTCTCAGGTAATTTATCCAGCCCATTTTTAATTAATCATACAATGAGGAACCCATCAATTCCCTAGGTATATTATTCTGGCTGCAGAGCAGGTGAGTAATTTCATTAAAGCATTTAGGCACATGCTTAACTTTAAGCACATACTCAAGTGCCTTGCTAAATCAGTGCTTGAACTCGCTCACTTTTTGAACATTTTTCCTGGTAGGTTTAATGGTCCTTTACTCAGTTCAGTGCATTGACTTTCCTTAAGTCCTTAGGCCCCAGTCTTCAAAATAATTTAGATGCCTAACTTCCATTGAAATTTATGATGCTCCTCCAATTACTATTAAGAGCCAAAATCTCTACTGGTGCTACTCCAATGACTTCAGGGATTTTTGCTCTAATTATTGCAAAGTAATGGCACTAAATATGCCAGTGACATTAATGCTTTAAAAGGATTAATAAAGAATAGAGAAGGTAGTGACTGGAAAATGACTAATGCAAAATCTTAGAGAAAGATGAGCCAAACAGCTATAATGCTGCTCTAAAGCAGACAAGGGGGAATATTACAGACAACTCACAGTGGGCTACATTTTTAAAGAAACTTCAGTTGTCTAGTTGTGCAGAGAGAGCAAACAGAACCACTCTTATGTAAGTAGCTACCTGATTTAGGACAAAATCAGGTCGGGAGCAGTCAAAATGCATAAATGTGCAAAAATGAAAGGCCCAAATGATAGCAGAATTTCTTGAGAAATTGCAATGGGATAGGAAATGTCAATTGTTTTGGGGAGTGAGTTAATCCTTAAAGAAACACTGTAAGTTCATTCTTACAGCCCTGAGTCCCTTTGAAATAGCTCCAACAAAGACCATATTGTTATAGGGCAATATTTTTAGTTTTTCACTGTAATAAAGATTATAATAAAATGTGCTGTGAGGGAGTTTGCTCAAAAAGGTACAGACAACTCTTTACAGCTGTACTCTTGGGCTATTAGTATGTACAGTGGGGCCTTCACATTGCTGTATCTGAGCTCATGTGTCTTTTGATATGTATTAATGCAATATCTTTTATTCATTTTTTTCTCTTGAGCAAGGTGTCTTGTTTCATCTTTTCAATGGTCTAAAGTTAGCTCTTTCAGAGCAGGGGGTCTAGATGATGGAGAGGAGTTGTCATGGGCTACCAAACCATTCATCCACAGTGCAGGTTGTGAGCTTTTTGGGTCAGGGATTCTGATATACAGTTATCTAGTGAAATCTTTCCAACATATTTACTGATACCTTGAAATCCAGTCAGTACTGACAGCACCATCCTTAGGATTTATGGGGCCCTACTAGTACTATTAAACTGTTACCCCTATGCCCAATAGCAGCCTGCGAAGGAAAGGGAAGATGATTTTTAGAGATGTGATTTTATAATCTTCAGCAACACGCTAATGAAATATTTAAATTTTAAACTAAGGTCTTGTAGACTAATACAGTAAATTCAGAAACTGACAGTAGATACCTGGGGTTGGCAAATGCCTGTTAAATGGGTTCGTCACCACTTGAATTGCTCTTTCCCAGGTTCAATATTGTGCTAATAGGTTTGGCAGGCTTTTTCACTTTTAAATTAGTGAGATTATCTCCGGAGGAAGCAGAGCTGCAGAACAGGAATATGAAGAGCTGGAGGGTGGACATTAGGACCCAGTGATGCCCCAAATGTTTGGGTGCCCTATGCAGGTGCGTATTCTGCATATGGGTAAGTACAGTCCTGAGTACTGAATAGTGGCATCATCCCAGAAGCTTCCCTGCTTCCCTCTTGCTCTGTGAAGGAAGTAATTGGTATCAGAATGCTTTCTGGTGCAGTCTACATCCCCACCCCTCAATGCGAGGTCAGCTATGCTGCCTGGCACTTTGTGAAGAGGGAGGGTCAGAACTATGGTCCCACCCACTTCGCATCTCTGCCCACCCATCACTACTCACCAGGTGCAGGAGGAGGAGGAGATGACAGAGTGGCCCAGTCATAGCTGTTCTTCCCCTGTATTGCTACACACAATAGCAGTAGGCTAGACAGTGCAGCAAAGTGGCTGACTATGGTGCAGAATGGGATCTAGGATCATTACCTGGTCCAAATAATAAAAGTTCAAAAATAGGTAAATTTAGGGCAAAACAACTTTAGTTTTGATTATTGTGATTTATTGTTCATTGGGTTTAAAATATAACCAGCAATTATCTTCCTCCGCTCTCCCCCCGCTCAAAAAAAAATTGCTGAACTTCCTGTTTGAAAACCAAAGAAGAGCATCATTCAGTTCTCTTGATATACAGAACATTGAAGCAGCCTCTGGACAAACTGATTCAACTCCCTGGATGGTGGTAAGAAGAGAGTGCAGGATCAGGTTTTAATAAGAGCATAATCACGGTAAATGAACCAAATCCTAATGGCCTTATTCAGGCAAAACTGACGCCAATGGGAGTTTTGCCCAAACAAGGGTTGAGTCAGAAGGTTAGATGTTGGCCCTCTATTTCCAGCACACTATGAAATATGATTATAGTGAGTTCCAGAAAGATACGGAATGTACAGTGGATGGTAGGAATAACACAAGGAAAACTGCAGTTGACCTGGATTCTATACTGCTTGGCACATTGTAAGGTCACTGACACCTGTGCAAGGTGACACAAACTCTTTTGTAGCAAAACAATAGTATTTGATGCTCACTGTCACCCTCAGTCATCATGTCAAAGATCCTTGCATCTTGAGCACCACTTAGACCAATCTCTAGGACCATCCTCAAAGTGTTCTGGCTGGATAATGAATTTATGTCCACCATCAATTATCATATTAATGCCCAACTTGCCCAGAAGTAAATGTGGGCCAGAAGACAGAGTCATAGGCAATTTGTAGAGACAAGTCCAAGCCGCAAAGTTCAGTTTAAATAGTTCTTGAGATTTGAGGGCATACATGGGATGGGAAGAAGGGTTTTGATTGGGCCTATTCTAAGAATAAAGCCCAGGTTCTGAATTTTCCAAACATTTGGGAAAGATTAGCTTTGGATTTGGGGTTTTGTCCTTTCTCTAGTTTGAATCAGAAAAAAATGCTTTTCAAATCCTGCAATTAAATAAATCAGAATCCCATGCCATTCGGAAGAACCCTCTTTGATACAGTAGGAGTTGTGCCTGAGGCAGCAATGCAAGACTCAAACATTGTTCAATTGGAGTTTTGGGCTATTAGTACTAGGGTAGCAGAACTAAACTGAGGCTCAGCTATAGGACTGGAACGCCCCTCTGGAGGCTGGCAGGAAAAGGGACAATTGCATGAAGATTCCAAGCTCAGGAGGCCCCAAAATGTCTATAAATGAGGTGAAAGGTGATGTGGAGGAAGCACATGTGATATACCAGGGACCCAAGTTACTCTCAACAGGTCTGACTCTACTGCAATCAGTGAAGCTGACCGGCATTAAAAACAAGAGTATGCAATGATACATGAAATTCTGTATTTCAGCTCCAAGTTGAACCAATGAGTGGCATGATACTTAAAAGTCAGTCCCATGCTGAAATTTAAAAAAAAAAACCTGATTGAAGGCCATAACAAAATCTATAGAACTGTAAATATATCTATCAAATCCTTCAGCTCCCTTTCATGTGAAGTCCTAATTCATGCCTGGTCTCTCACTTGGAATGACTTGTGTGAAAAAGCATGATAAACATGAGCAAAGGGTTGGCCACTCAGTCCCGCATGGCCTCCCACTTTCACAACTGAATTCACTAGGCAAACTCACACTGATTTCACCAGGCATGGGATCATTCCTTAACTGTTTGCACTTTTTTCTCAATGGTACCACAGTTCTCCTAGCTTTTTGCTTACCTAATGCAATGTTGTACAGTCCATAAATGTTTGGTGCATTAATCTAGAAAGAAAAGCATTCCATACAAACAGATATACAGTACTTGCATTTTGTGGATAAAGCATTTTTTCCCTCCATGGTTTCCTTTGTATGCTTTTTCCACTGCTCCCATCTTTTCTTCAAGTTGAATTTATAAAATTGTATTTACTAGAATAAAATCTTTTAACAAATATTCTATGCCATAGGATCATGTGAATTACATGAAAAGAAAATTATATTGGTGCAATATTTCACGGCTGGCAGAAAACAGAACAGTGAAATCTTGGCTTCACTTAAGTTTTGTCTTTGACTGTAAGAGAGCCAGGAGTCTGCCTTAACTAAAGCTTTTGAACACAATCAGAATATGTGTTTTTGCACCAGCACCTGGATCCTGTAAACATTTACGCCCATCCTTAAACTGACCCATGTACATGGTCCCTCTGAAGCCAATGAGACTTACTCACAAACATCAAGATAAGCATGTGCATAAACAGTTTCAGGATCAGGGCTGAAACCCTTACTCAATCAAAGCTCTCTGAATGCCAGTGGAGCATTATTGCTGAATAAGGATATATTGGAAGGCCTTAAACAAACCTGTTGCCAAACAGGAATCAGTAGGACTGCTTCCATGAGTAACACTTACTCACTTGAGTAAGGACAGCCCAGGTAGATTTTACTCCTTAAAGTCAGTGAAGCTGTACCCACTTACATCAGGGCTGACTTTGGCTCATGAGTTTCTGTCATCTTTCTGTCAGCTTTCAGGACACGCCCCTTAGTTATTATTCAATCATTGTGCAAAACCTCCATTGCTTTGAATGAGTGAAGGATTCAGAATCTGGTCCATTGAGTTGAACTCCATAAAGCTAGCCATCCTAAATTGTGCTTTTGACAACAGCCGTTTTTTTCCTTAGTCTTGCCTCAGTTAAATAAAGAATTCAAAACACACACATACACACACACACCTATTTACATATATACCCTTCCACCCATATATTCAGGATTACAGTTTTTTACAAATACTCAGTGAATTTACATATATACCCCTCCACCCATATATTCAGGATTACAGTTTTTTACAAATACTCAGTGAAGTAGGAATGCAGTCCAAAGAGCGCTGGGACAGTTCTCAGGTGGTGGAAGGTTGAGTGAAGCTTTTCTGACTCGAGCTCTTGCGACTCAGGACGAAGGTAGAGGAGTTGCTTTTCTTACTGATGCTCAAGTCACAGCTTTGCCTGGATTTTAAATAGCGTGTGGAGCAGCAGAGGAACCGGTGCATAAGGTCATGGAAAAGATGGCCTGTGAAAAGCATGTAGATCCATGGGTTGCAACAGCTGTTTAAACTTGCTAGGAGCATGGCGATGATAAACGGAGATGCTGCAAGGTAGAAAGCATAATAGGAAAACGACATGAACAAAACATGATCTCTAGGCCTAGGCTAGACAACCTGGCTGCATCCAGTGAGAAGAAATTCTAGCTTTTGGAGATCATGAGCCCAGAATCCACCAACATCTTCCCCAGTTTCCTGGTCTGATGCTCATATCCCCAGCTGATCAACACACAAACTATGGGCCCAACCCTCCCTGATTTAATGCTACCATAACAAACCAATGGAATTTCCCCAAAACCTTTTCATATTTCAATGCAGAACAAACCATGACCCTTAAATAGGTTGAGAATCACTGGTTTAATCATTGTGGGCCGCATATGTGGCCCTCAGTGTGAGAAGTCTTCCAATTCAAGAGTGCAGTTGCTAGGGGAGGAGAACACTTTGACAATTATTTATTGGAATGGGGATTCATGAATAATCTCGCTCTCTCTCAGCAGTGTTTTGAATATCTAAGGTGGGGCTGGGAACCTAAGGCCCAAGGTTGCCTGGATCCTGCCCTCAAAGCTCAGGGTTCCCCTCCGAGCATTGGGGAGCCCATACTAGCATTCCATCCCCTCTTGCCCCCCTCGCCCCCACACACACACTCTCCATGGGGCTGAAGCACACAAAATCTACTAGCCAGGTGTGCAAGGGGAATGTGGAGAGCATCAGCGAGGGTTTATTTGGTTTTTTGTCTTTTTTTGTGTGGGTCAGCCACCCCCAAAGCAAACAGGGTTCCCCAGCCCTGATCTAAGGGATGCAGCCAGGGGGCCTGCATAGGCATACTGCTATATGTTACCTACATTGGCTTTCATCATTTGTTGGCCTTCCATTGCAATAATATGGCCATACCAAGAAAGCCACAGAAACAGAACCTATGCCAATGGAGGCAGTCAGTGGATCTGGCTACAACTAGTCTCATTGCTGATCTTGCACTGCCACTTAATTTGGAGCAGCTGATGGCAATTATGTGAGTAAAAATATAATTTACCATACTTCAGTCTTCCTCAACTGGTCCTACAAAGTATTCTTGGCAAGGAATGCTACTACACTGTCAGGGATCAAGAACATAAGAACGACCGTACTGGGTCAGATCAAAGGTCCATCTAGCCCAGTATCCTGTCTTCTGACAGTGACCAATGCCAGGTACCCCCAGAGGGAATGAGCAGACCACATAATCATCAAGTGATCCCACTCTCATCCCCCGTTCCCAGCCATTCCTATCCATCCTGGCTAATAAGAACTCATGGACCTAACCTCCATTACGGTAATTTATCTTGCTCTTTTTTGAACCCTGTTAAAATCCTGGCTTTCACAATATCCTCTGGCAAGGAGTTCTACAGGTTGGCTATGTGTTTGTGAAGAAGTGCTTCCTTTTGTTTGTTTAAAACCTGCTACCTATTAAATAATGGACACAGGTACCATGTCGAAGCAGGGCAGGAGGCCAAGGCACCATTGCTTTTTCCCTGCCTTAAGAATGAGTGAGGAGAAGAGGGCAGAGAGGAATTAACAGGAGACTTGGGGGGAAAACAGTTGAAGCAAGGGCATGGCCTCTGGGAAGAGGCCAGGTGAGGGCAGGACAACAGTTTGGGCACTGCTGTCCCTCCTCCTGTCCCCTTCCCCCCGCCTCCGCCTCCCAGAGACACACTTCTATATATGGAGCTTCCAGAACTCCTGGCCAAGGACATAAACTGAACATCCAGACAAGCAGACTTCAGGAGATTGATCTGGGTAACACTGGACATACCAAGAGGCTACATCCCTGTGGGATTGATAAAGCTGAGAACCTACTGTAGCTGAAAGTCATCTCACTCCATCGGGTGTCATTCAGAGCCTAGTAAATCCAGTGGAACTTCTTAGATAAGAACTACAAAGCCAAAGTAGCTGAAGTGCCTGTGGATGAGGGATGATTCTACCATCCCTGTACTTGGGGCTGCATGGTAATTTAGTTTCCTTCTCATTCATGCCTGGCTTTTGTGCTAGATCGACAACAATGGGGGGTGGAGCAGGCTCCACTTTTTACAAAGGAAATACCAAACCAACGAACGGAAATGGAGATTAAAAAAAAATACTAGGTAGATGCAACTAAACTTTATAAGTCACTCTCTGGCAGGTGTTTTTTTCTCTCTCTGTTTAATAACATTCCACTAGCACCATCTTCATTTATGACTGGGTTGAACCTAAGTCCAGTTCATTCAACCTTTCATCAGACCTAAGTATCTGCTTAGTATCCATAGCAACTGCCTGCCAAAGTCATCAAGCAATGGCTAACTGGCATCCAGCCACAGAACACCCCATCGTCTATTTGCATTTCAGCTTTTATGTACTCCCTCCACAGTGGTGTATGGCCATTTTTGGCTGGGTAAAAATGCAACTTAGAGAGCCTGACACCGTAAGGAACCGAGCACTCTCCATTCTCAACGAGAGAGCTGGTCAAAAAAAGTGGGAAACATTATCAAAAAGCTGTGGAAAACTGAGGACATTTTGTTTCATTCCAGAGTTTTCATTGCTGTTTTCCATTGCTCCATGGGAAACATTTTAAATGAAAAAAATACATTGGATTTTTTTTGCTCTTTTACTGCTTTTTTGCATTTTTCCATTTCTCCATGGGAAACATTTTAAGTGAAAAAAATCACACTGGATTTTTTTTGCTCTTTTACTGCTTTTTTGCAATATTCTATGGGGAAAAAAGGTAATAACAAGGAAGGAGGGCTGAGGGGAAAAAATCTTGTTGATTATTGTAAGGAGAAGGGGGAGAAAAAATGGGAAATTGTCTCACCATTCTGAATGGGGAAAAATTGGTGGGGAAAATGCTCAAAAATTGTTTGAATCCAAAATTGAAAAAGCTTGATGGCCATGACATTTTGCCAAGAAATTTCATCATCATAGCAATCACATTTTTAACAGAAAAAAAAAACTTGTAAAAAAAATAAATAAAGGTTGACCTGCTGTACATAGTAGGCACTGAGAGTACGCCATACCTCATGAATCTCTTAGTATATTCCTTCATTTATAAGTGGCATAAATATTCTTTCGTGTGTAACTATCAGAAGCACTTAAGTAACATACCATAAGAAGTGAAGTGCTTTGGGATCTTTGATGTGAAAGGTGGTATCTTCAGGTAAATCATCACTGAGTATCATTATTTAGTAGTATGCAGTGTGTAGGGGCTTTAGTATCCCAGTATTAATAAGCACACTACACTGGAGGCAATCTTGTAATTCATTCTCATTTGTTCCAGATTAGGAGTGAAAATATAATGCTGCAAGACAAATGAGTGACATTGCTGACTGGAACATCCCAATGTCCTGACAAATATGATGCTATTTGCTGAGCTGCAGCTTCATAGCCACTTACTCGTCTTTACACACATGTGAAACTATTTTCTTTGATACAAAGATTAATATGTTGGGTATTCTGCAGATTAGTTTTATTTTCAGTGGGGAAAGAAAGTGACGATGTGTCATTTGAAGCACCCACATGCTGCCTCTGTTCTGATCTGCTGTGGTAAAATGCCAACATACTGTTTCCAGCGTCAACAAAAGGGAACATCTGCTGCCAAAATAGAAAATTTTCATATCATGAAAATGGCTGTAAAATTCCAAAGCCTTATGAATTGTTCATACTATGCAATGATGGAAAAAGTTCTCCACAATGGACTGACTGCAGCTGTATGAGCCGGGACTGTGCTCATTCTTCAAGCTGAAACAGATAAACCTACAAGAGAATCGGGAGTTTTTGTCACCCAATCAATAAAACACAATACTGAGACTCAGGAAACCTGGGTCATATTCCCAGCTTAGCCACTGGACTGTGGAGTGACCTTGGGAGACTCCCGGCACCGCTATGTGCCTCAGTTTCCCCATCTATACAATAAAGATTATATTTGCCTTCTTTGTAAACCACTTTGAGATCCACTGCTGAAAAGTGCTATATAAGAACTAAGTATTTGTTCTTCTAATTATTAACTGTAGGGTACAGTCTAGTCAGGGAATGGATGTGATCTCTATGAATCTATTACATCTCTCATTTCTGTTCACTGAGTAGCTCTCTCAAGCTAAGTGGAGCTGGGCCCAGATAATACTTAGATGACCGATCTGCATGTTCTGCAAGAAATGTTCTCTCTCACTCACAGCTGAAACAGTGTACCAGCAGCTGACAATGATGTTGAGCAACAACTGGCAGTATGGGGGCGGGCACTGAACTGCTGCTAAGGATCCTGGTTTTCAGGTGCAACCCCAAATCCCAGTCCATCATGTAAAAAGGCAAGTAGCATGAAAGAGGCATTTTCTTTCAGGCCTGGAGCAAGAAGAACTGTGTTGGACCTAGCTCATGGGTGGGCAATAATTTCTGATGGGGGGGGCACACCTAGATTTTGATAAGTGGTCAAGGGCAGCTCTTTTCTATGGACTGGGTGTACGGTCTGGGACAGCAGTTTGGCGTAGAAAGGAACTTGGACTAGGGGACTGGGGTGTAGGAGAGGGTGTGGGGTCTGAGAAGGAGTTTGGGTGAAGAAGGGGTTTTTGATCTAGGATAGGGGATTGGGATGCAGCAGGGGGTACAGGGTCTGAGAGGAAGTATTGGTGCAGGAGAGTATTCTGGCCTGGGGGAGGCATGTAGGAAGGGGTGCAGGGTCTAGGAGGGACTTGTGACCTGAGGAAGCGGGCTGCAGCAGGTTTGGGTGGGGATGTGGGACGGGGAGTTGGAGTGTGGGAGGAGGTGGGGTGCCACGGGCAGGCTCTAGCTGGGAGGTGCTTACCTAGGCAGCTCCCAGCCAGCAGCCCAGTGGGACCCGCAGTCCCAGGGCTGAGAGGCTGGCTGCTCCCTTTATGTGCTTCTTCCACCATGCGCTAAGGGGAGGCTTCACATGCTGCCCTCACCCCCAGTACAATCTCCTTGCTCCCACTGTCTGGAACTGACCAATGGGAGCTGAGAGATTGTGCTGGGGGCAGGGGCACCATGAGAAGCCTCTTCCCCTTCTGTGCAACATAGAGAGACACATGGAGCA